TGGTTATCCTTCCCCTTTCTTTCCCTGATGAAATGCTGAGCAGCACCCTGTGCAGGGAGGGCTGCTTGTGCAGCAGCGGGTGGACAGGCTGCAGCAAAATACAGCTGCTTGAACCCTCTTCTCTCTCACTCGAGAAGACTGTGTATCCAAACCGGACTGTCCATCAGATCCACAAGGAACTGTCAGAGTGAATTAAAAGCACTGAAAGGCAGGGGCTGTAATTCAGTCCTTTTTAAGATCCAGGATTTTTTTGGGGACGAAGGGAGGGAAGTAGCCACTAATGTAATTTCCAGCAGGACTACATTCTCTAATGTAATTTGGCCTGGCTACCCTTCCAATTGCAGCCTTTCCTCAGCTGGGCTGGTTCAGACCCATCCTCCTCAATGCCCCAGTAATGACGGATGCAATGGAAGCATGTGCCCAGGCTTTGCTCTGGCCTCTTCAGCCCCGGAGTGACACCCGCCTTCCGCACAGAGCACCCAGTTTGCAGAGCACGCTGCTGGGCACGTAAGTAACTGAATGCATTAACACAGTAGCGTTTTGTCACTAAGCGTGTTCGAGAAAGACACAAGACGTCCCATTTGCATCGTCTTTGTTCCTTTTTCCTTTTTGATTGAGTTTTGGCAGCGCTCAGACAGTCTGCAAGTTGCACAGTCCCTTACCGGACCAATAAGCATCCGTTACTCTGAACCGGATTCCTGATCCCCATTTTACGTTTGCTCTTTGTTTGCTTCGGTCTGTCTTTCTGCCAGCACCTTACGTTGCCTTCAGCAGACTTCAATAGCCCATTACTTGGTGCTTTCCATGCAAGAGAATGGTTTCCAGGGAAAGGACACTTGCTTTGCAAAAGCTAGGAGAGGAAGAGCTTGAAAGTCCCTCACAAAGTGCTCTTTGCTGCTTCACCCTGAATGAATTTAAGAATTATTTTTCCAACAATTCTTTAAAGATTGTCCTGTGGCGTTGCCTCGCCTGCATGATACACGAGTATCATCAAAGAATTACAGCACAGTACTGGCTAACTTCTCTTGGGTTTATTTTGATCTTCTTTTTTTAATACATGCCCCAATTGTATGTGGCGGTGGAGTGCCAGAGCTATTGAATAGTCCCCAAAAACATGTAACAGGAGACTTTTATCACTGTAATTACTCACAAAGTACTGTTGCTCAAGGACAGTGCTTGTTCAGGGGGACTATCAGTTAAAGGATAACCACGGGTCCCCTCTCCCCCTGTCCAAATCCATGGGACTGAAATGACGGCACCACACGACACTGAGACATGAAGTTGGTTTCTCCAAGAAGCTGTCCTTTAAGCGTGTCCACAGGGCTGCGCTGAGAGGTTAGTGGGGCTGCGACATGCGGAAGATGTTAGAAAAGGGATCAGCTGAGAGGCTGAAAAAGAAGCCAACAAAACCCAGTGCCTGCAGAACAGCAAGGGCATTGCAGGTTTTGGAAGGGCTACCAAGGGTATGAACCTCGATGCTGTTAAAGGAAACAGTAAGAACAAAGAAAGGAGGAGATTAGCTGCATGGCCAGATTTATGGAAAAGGATGGGGCTGGCAGCTGCAAGCTTGAATGATGTGAAGAGCAGAGAGACATGATGTAGGCCTTTGGGAAGCCAGGGAGGTGAGTGTCACAGAAGCTGAACTTTTAGAAAGGACAGGCAGAAAATATACTGCCCGAAAGTCTTATTCATTATCTGGCCATCAATAAATACACTTCATTTCCCTGGGGGAGACAGCACTGCCCTTCTCTGGGATGCCCTGTTGTACACAAATGCCTCAGGAGGACAGACTTGCTGGCTGCCACGGCAAGGCAGCCTCGTCCCAAAGCTGGGAAGTGACGGAACCCTAGGTGCTAACATCCCTGTCCCCATCAGCACCCGGCACCACGGCTTTCTGGTTTCACGCTATTAGCTCAGCCCCTGGCAGGAGTTACAAACCAGCCAGTACGTGATGAGGTAGCAGGAGGAGATAACCCCCCAAACCGTAGCCCAAACCCTTACTAAAAGTAGTCCATGTGACACCGATTACAGCCCAAAATCGATGAAAGTGGAGCACAGAGCCAGGTCCAGGGACAGGCAGCAGGCGTGGGAGAAGAGGTGCTAGGTTTTTTCCTCCCCAGCATCTAAAACTAGGTAATTATATTTAAAAACTGTGTTGTTAAACCAAAAAGGAAATAAGTGAAAGTAAGGACATACCAGAATTAAGGTAGCATGATTTATTGACACATGCAGTAGGTAACTACATATATTTAATTATATATTAAGTGCAAGCTGGATTTTTAGTATACATTTAATACAGTGCATGGCATAAGCTCATACTGGTTTTGTATTTGTCTGGAGTTGCGTGCTAATCATTAGAAAACTCTCCCACAAGCATTTCCTGCTACAAAAGGCCAAGGAACTGAAATACCCCAATGAACTTTGGAACCAGACTTGGCACAATGCGTTAAGAAACTCAGAGAAGGAAGGGAGATAAATCACAGCAGACCAGGCACCATCCAGATGAAGAATCCCCAATTAATGATAAAGCAGGTATGTCAGAAATAAGGAAGGATTCTTTTTTGCGGCCTTTTAAATAAATCATATATACTTAACACCTTCCCAGATGTCCCTCTCATGCTTTATCATCTGAGGAAAACAAGACAGTAACAGTAGTGAGAAACTCGTTAATGTCTTTTTTCTCCCCCCCTTATATCTTACATTCTTTCTTTCTGTTAAGATGCTGAGTTTTTTGTGCTGTATTAATAAAATCCATGTTTTGTGGATGTTTACTGACCAGAGTGATGAGCCCCTTCCTGAACATGTGTAGCACAGGACAATTTTACCTACATGATCACAATTCCTGTTTATATTTCCCGCCCTCCGAGTGCTTGGCTTTTTAACTTCCATGTCCTTTGAAGGCAGGAGCTTTTAAAAATTATGCAACTTAAAACTGAAGGCGAAAGGCCACTGGGATTACCAAATTTCCCAAAGACTCCTGCCTTTTGAGGGCTAGAGATGAACTCCTTGGAGAAGGTGTTCAGAGGAGATCTTTCCAAGCCCAGGATGGTAACACCCAGCGGATGCTGCCAGGGGATCAGCTGGAGGGTTGGCCAGCAGGACGTGGTGTCGGGAATGTGAATGTCCTCTGGAGCCTCCCACCAGGATACGTGCTCCTGTGTGCTGTGATGCTGCTGAAACCTGCCACTTGCATAAGCACAGGAAATTGCAAGGCAGCTGTGCTAGTGCCCGGATGTCCAGAGCCCATGGCACATTCCTTGCCCCAGTGGTTCCTTGACCTTTTATTAAGACCTCTGTTAAAAAAAAAAAAAAGAAAGAGGCAACAAGACGTAAAATTTTGAACTATTGAGCTGGGCTACATATGCTTGTAAACAGCATAAACAGCCCAGGCAAGCCATAGCCACAAAGAGTACACTACTTGTATTTGTCTATTTGTTTTTAATCAGTGATTTCCAGTATCACTTTGGACGTGCAGAGGTAAAGTCTTCTAGAGAGGTGCTAAAAGCTGTATGCATTCCTTGATTGCTTTAATGCACTGTCATTGTAACACAACATCCACCTTCATGTAACCTTTCCAGAGGGACCAGTGCAAGTCCAGCTGTTGCAGTGCTGTCACCGGTGCAGATAACTCACGCAGTTCAGTCTTGTACAGCATTGATGGCGAAGCAGAAAAGAGTGGCTTGTGTGAAAATAACAACTTGATTTGAGGCTTTTAGTCCTGAATTCTGCACATCCTTTGTTTCATTTTCTTCTGTGTTAGACTCTTTTTCATGTAACATTTAATATGATTCCCATGTGAAATTTGCTCTTTAATGCTTGCTAATAAATAAGTATATAATTACCCTGACTCCTATCAGAGCTAATACAGTTGAACAAACTTCCTGAAAACCAAAAAAACATGTACATTACACAGCATGAATGAGCGTCCATAAACACCCCAACTCCAAGATCTGATTTACAGCAACACACGGGTGAGAACAGACACTGAGGGGTACCCCAGACAACTATGACAGTGGAAACAGAGAGGGGAGGGAGGACAGGGTATAACCAGTAATTGAATGATGATGGTTGGGTGGACAAGGGGATGAAAACAAAAAGACCTTCCAGTATAGAAACCAGAGTGAAGGCGATGTGTAGGTGGTCGTGCTGTGGTTTCAGGCAGGTAACCGATGCTGTCCCAGCCCCTTTGGGGTCATGTAGAGCCCAGCCATCTCAACAGAGGTGAAAAATACCGAAATACGTTCCTTCTTTATCTTCCCTCCTTCTCTGATTTTCTCCTGGGAGAGAGCTCCTTGGCTATTTCACACTTTATTTGTCCACTTTGTCTTTGTGGTCACTGCCTGCATTTCTGTGCACACACAGCCAAATGTCTTAGCCTGAAGGTGAAGTCAACCAGCTTTTTCGGCTGATTTACTGATCTTGAAAGTACTTCATGAAGGGCCTCTTCTCCTTTGACCCATGAAGGTATATAGTTAACCTTAACGTCACTGAAGTCATCACTCATGGGGATACAGCACTTGCAAAGTTCACTTTGCAATGAAAGTCTCTATAAACACTGCATCCAAGATATGCTTCGTGTTTATGCTGAGAAGATTTAAAGACAAAAACCCTGAAGAGCTCACATGTAGGTTTAACAGTGCTAAGTCGAGGTAATTGTTACATATATTCCTGATTAGTGAAATTCAGTTTCCAGTAGCTTAACGTCGCATTTGTGATGAAGAGCAAGTTGCCATTCACAGCCACAAGAAAGTCTTACTGGCAAACACTGTTTGACATTTCTCTATTAAGACAGGATGCAGTGGTCCTATTTTTTCCCAATTTGACTTAATTAAAAAAAAAAAAAAAGAAAAACATCTCAAAATGGCCATCAGCAGCATGACATCTCTTTGGTTTTGCACAGAGGTGGGTGGGTTTTTTTTTGTCCCAGTCCTTCTTGGATAGATGATCGTGTAGCACCTAGCACCCCGCTACATGTGGGATGCTACCCACCTCTGCTCCCCTCATGTGAAATATCGACACTGTGTAGAGTCAATGTAGCAGTAAGAAGTGCATCGCAATTTTCCGTAAGACCTAAAATAAAAGGGAATATCTAAGACCTAAAATAAAAGGGAATATCTCAGTTTCAAAGCATGCTATAGTTCACATTATATGGTTTCTGGATGTAATTCCCTGTAGGAGTGAGGAACATCAGAAAATGCCACGTGCAGCAACATATGGTAACCAAAATAAGAGGATAATTTCCATCAGTGCTCTACGGTGCTCCCCCCTGTCAGCAAAATAAGAGTCTAGGAGAAACTATGAGTGAAGACTTAATTCCCAGCAACGTCAATTAAAAAGAAAACAAAATCCCCGTTGACAGTGGGACGTGAGCATCATGCGGGGGTGGGTGCAGGAGGCCTTGGCGTTCACCCACGGGAACTGTGTAACCAAATATCTGAGGTGCTGAGTTAACTGTTTTTCCAGTCACTTCCAATAGCTCCCGCAGGCATGACTGTGCCTGTCCTTTAACTTATTTTTCATGTACTTGAAATAAGCACAGTGACACGTGACTACCTTTGAAATAAAAAAAGAAGTAGATGGAAGGGTCCTTGAAAAATAAGGAAAACCAGTGATTTTTGTCTTTCTACTGACTTAAACTAATCTGCAGTGACTCTGCCTACTGAAGACCTGACCAGAGATGTTAATAAAATAAGCATTTTGATGAGGTTTTATAGCTAGCATATGTCTAAGTGAGTAACCCACTCACCAGATAATCTACAAACTGTGGACTAAGCAGCCATTAAGCAGATCCTTGAAACTATGTCCTTGGATAACCCACATTCTCAGAAAACCAACATAAAATCTGAAGTGAAGGTGTGTGAAATATGAGGAGGGATTTGGGGGCTGGAAAGAGTTTTTGGAAAATGGGCAAACAAGTTGCAGCAGAGCTCTTGGAGGGCAGGGTGCTTTGGGATGAAACTTCCATGGGGGTGCCAAGTTCACATACTTATCACATTTTACTGATGAGTCACAGCTTTTTCTTTAGTTTAGCAGATAATCTGCAGACTGCACACATAAAAATAAAGGATTTTGGTTGCTCTTCACAACTTGATTATACATGGAAAATTAAATTAATAAAATTTCTCAAGCTTTTGTGGTTCTATTTTTAGCACCAAATTTCAGACTCTTAGAATGTTCCACTCTTTTCACAGTGGAAAACAACTCCACGCTGTCTGAAGAGAGATCTCTGCAAAACGTTTCAGGTTGTCAGGTTTGCTGGTCTCTTACACCAGGAGTGCTCCAACAATTGCAGTGGAAGGATTAGCACAACATTTGACTTACAAAGACATCCTGTGGTTTCTTATTCCTGTCAATTAGCACATTATTCTTCCATGAAAGATGAGGGCTCTGCACATATAATTTCATTTGCAAATTAAATGTTTCCTGTTAGCCAGTAACAATACCTGACAGTTAAATAGAGGCACCGCTGTGGGAGGCAAAATGCTGACCAGAGGAAGCTACTTCAACAAAGGCAGAGAAGGCAAGCCAACAATAAGCAGATGTTTTCAATGAAAGACACTGCTAAGCAGAGGCATGGCTTGGCATCGGGCTCTTGAGTGAATTTTCTCGTCTTTGGAAAGGTTGATAGATGACCGGTTGGTTCAGAAACAAAGACACCCCTAGAGTACCCATTAATGGTAAGGGCAACAGGAGGTCGGTTGGAGGTTGTGGGTTGGGTGTTTTCCCTTTTCCTTCAGTGTGATACATTCCTTCTCATGGTCTTTCCTACTCTTGGTATGTTATGAGTGAACATTAATGCAATTATAGTCACCAAATGAGGAAATCTTTGCGAGCAATGGCCAAACATATGCCTACGTGACTTTTGCTTTGTACACTAAGAGGCACGTACTGATTACTGACAGATGAGGTTTAGCCCATAAATTCAATGATGTGCAGAAATAATCTGATAAACTCCTTCTCCGCCACTACCTGTCCCAGTGGAACAAGGTTTAAGTGGGTAATACTTTTCTGTTTTAAAGCTGGTAAAAAGTAAAAAAAACAACCAAACAAACAAACAAAACCCCACACCAAACCAAAACAAAAAAAACATAACCCCCCAAAAAAACCCAACCAAAAAACCCCAAAACAACAAAGTGAAGACAGCTCATATGTACCCGGGGAGATACGTTTTACATGTCAAATATCCAAAATCTTTCCCATCGCAGTCTTCAACTCCTTCGTGTCTGTAGCCATCTCCACAGTAAGCACGGCGGCATCCTAGCGAAAAATACAGAAAGAAATACCCTCAAGGCACTTCATATGTAAAAGAGACAGGTGAGGTAAGTGGCTTTTTAAGGGTAAACCATAAACCAAGGCATTGGGGGATGGGGGGGTGGGGAGGCATCCTGTAAGAACTGTCATAGGAGGAGCAATATTTTTCACCACAAAAAATACTTTTTTTTTAGTCTAATTTCAATTACCAAGGGAAAGAATGGTTAACAACTAAAAATAATTACTACAGAAACCCTAATGACAACAGCATTATTCTAATAATTAGTATTACCATTACCCACTATTGCACAGTATCTATCTATGCATGCCTACTGCGAGTGAGTTTCCACATATGAACAGAATTATGCAGCCCTATTTCCTGTCCATTAAAAAAAAGAAAGCATGTAATGATTGACTTGTGTATGAGCTGGCCTTGTGACATTTTTTCATGGTGACTGGCACGTAGGATGCAATCGCATGTGGGCTTGTTTGCCATTTTAGCAACTGGACTTCGCTTTTGATGTCTTCAACGTTCTGAGTGTGACTTTATAACTTGAAAAAATTTAGCTAAAATCCCTTGACATCTTCCTGGAGACACTATTAGGCAATGAGTGAAAGGACACTCAAGAATAGGAAGTTTGTAAGAGTTCAAGGTGGTTATTTACAAATAAAACCGATTCACTAATTGCACCAAATATCTGTTTTTTAGAAATTGATGCTTCTAAGCACAACGAGCCTATTGTACAATTAAATCCACTTAAGATTTGGTTAACCTTGTTTTGTTTACCTGTGTAGTGCACAGTAACATGATGTCCCTCCAGATGCACAATGTACAGTTTTGCAGGCACTAGAACAAATGAACATTATTTTCCTGCATGTTTGTTCCATTCCCCACGGTTGATTGCAAATTCTAATTGAATCATATTCTTGTGCTTGGAGCCTGGAGAGCTCATGCTCTTGTGTTGGATTACTCTGCAGTCAGGCAAGCTTAGAGGGGCATTCGTTTATATGTCTTCCTATAACTGCTGAAACGGAATTGCCTTTGAAATGCCTTTCCTGTTGCCAATGAGAAGTTAACTGGGATTCCTAAGTTACAAAGGGAAGGGTGGCGATGGATAGGTGGATGGACAAACTCAGCTATAACCGAGAGTAGCAAACCTGCTGTCTGTCAGGTGTAGGTGTTGGAGAACGCTGCGCCCTGGGGAAGGAATCGGGTGGGAAAGTAGCTGACAGTGAGAAGCGAAGGTTGCCACAGCTGCCTGTAGGCTCTTTGCTATCCACAACCAGCAAGGCGAAAGGAAGATTGACTCAACAGGAATCAAATATTATATAAACCTAATAGTGAAGGTCGTGGGCTGACACCTTGCCTTGAATAACAAAATCCAAAGTGGTTTTACTGGACCGAGGAGCTGGCTTACAATTAGAAACAGCCAGCACCAGCGTCTGTCCCAAGGGGTTTTGTGGTGCCCTGTGAAGGTACGCTGCATCTTTTAGCCAGAAAGCCGGCAGCCCCTGAGGAAGGTGTATATATAAACCAGCTGCTGGATTTGGCCTCTGAGATGCAGTGGTTTCCTTCTGACTGCAGACACCTCTGCACAGTGGGGGACATGGTCCTCAATGGGGATGCATGAGAAGCTCTTGGGGTCCCCTCGGTCTTGTGCTGATGTGTGCCATCCCCATGCACAAAGGACCCCAGGTTTTGCACTGTGGCCATTGCACCTTCCTCTCCCAGTGCCTGCACTCGATGCACAAGCTGCGCAAACTCCCCTGAGTGAAATACTTGTGTGCTTTACACAGCGGAGCACCCCGCGGAAACAACTAATGAACCTTCCAGGGAGGAAAAAGGCTCCTCCTGACACACTGTAACTTACTTATACAGTCATCAGTCACAACTGCGTTGCCATCGTCGCACTCTTCCCCATCCTGTATGATCCCATCTCCGCAGGTGCTGCCAGGCTCGAAGCGGTAATCCACGGGATAGAAAGGGGTGAGCTGGCCAAGCAAACACACAGTGGTTACCAAACGCACCATGAGCAGCCTGGCTGGCATGCAGAGCTGAGGGGATGTGGGAGGCACATCCTGCCACCGGGTTTTCATATTCCGCTATTTGGTGGTTCATGGGGTTTAGACAGAATATTATTCAAAGTCCAGTGGACACAAGAAGGATCCTGCTGCTGATTTCAGCAGCACTTAGCTTAGCTCCTTGAAGCAATAAAGAAGTGCATAGTTTTGGTTTGCACAGTTTGTGTTTTCCTGAGACTCTGTACCTTGTCGAGTTTTGCCTTATTTTGTGTTAAATCAAAAAATGCTCTTTACTATCGCAATTCCCCGAACTCAGCCCTAGTTTGTTCAGCAGTAGAGCCTGGTTCACAGGGAGATTACCAAAACCTGCAACACTGATGAGTTAATGCTTCAGTAATTAAGGCTCCTGTGAAGAAAAATCACAGAATTAGGTACAATTGTGACAGTGCTCAAAAATGAGCTTTTTCTCCATTTGCTGGCTTGATTCTGTATGACACTTTAAGTACAGAGGTATGTGCTGTATTTAAAAATGAAACATACACTCAACGAGTTTTCTGAGATCACAGTCATATTTTCACCTGGACTGGGAGCCATCCAAAGGTATCCTTGAAATACAAAGATCTCTGATCTCTTCTGAAAGCCAAGGCATTTTCAGTGGTTAACCGGTCCAATTCGTCTTGATTATTCACCACAAAAATCTGGGGCAGAGAAAAAGAGGTGATTAGTAACCCTCTCAAAAAGTATTTCGGATTGTCACGGAATCTAGTTTTGTAAACTGGCGTATGTATCTGCAGATAAGTAAATAATTGCACAGAAAAACTCTTTGGTTGTTTTCAGAAACAGAATGGTGTGAGAACTTCGTCCATGGACTGCCAGACCGTAAGAGGCTCCTTTGGGACTGGTAAAAAGAGACACAAGTTTCCGAAGGAGAACGGTCTTTCCTGACCCCCCAGCTATAGCTCCAATGGCCCCTATTTCAAAATCCACATCCACGGGTAATGATCGTGGGAATACTCTGCACAATCAGCACTGAGGAAGAAAATCAGTTGCTCAAATGGTTAGATGCTGGAACAATTGCAAAATCCATATGTGCATATGTGCTTTATGTGGGTTTGTCTGTAATTTTTTGGGCATGTTCTTGGCTACAAAATAAATAGCTCAATGCAACCTTCACTTGTCTTTTATTACCTTATACTTTGTTTAGATTTAGTTGGCACTGAAATGCATGTTTCTTTACACGCATATGCTTCAGTCTAAACCAAAGTCTTCAATTAAAAAGGAAAAAATCAGTTAAAAATGGAAAAATTAGGACGAGCTGCTCCCTTACCAATTTTTTTTTTAATGTCTCAGTCCCTGAAATTGGCTGTAAGGGGCATTAGGAAATAATATCTTCCTTCAGCAGCTTAATCAAATTAATTTTAACAAGATTCAAACCATTGTTAAATTAAGAAAAAGCAAATGGAATGCTTCTAAACAAAATGGATTTAGAGCTGAGCCTGATTCCCACCAGCATAAACAGAATTGGCTCTTTTTAAAACAAATTACCCTGTATTTTTTACATGGCAGAATATTCCCATAGCTCCTGACAAAGGCCAATTTCATTAAAGAAGCACTGGGGGGGGGGAAAAAAAGCCTTCAGCTTGAATGAAAGAAAGCAAAGAAATAGAAAGCCAGCAAAGAACTGATTCTGTAATTGTGTTCAGAAGCTCAAGTCCCAGCCCCTGAGCTCTAATTTCTCTTGAAATCAATAGCAGATCTGTGCTCTCTGGAAATCTCTGATACAGGTACTGGCCTATGAAATTGCAAAAGACTCAGAAAACCAGAATGACCCTTAGCCAGTGACAGAAAACCAGCGCTTTGGTTCCTAGCCTCTCCATTCCTCCGGCAGTGCGAGCACTGGAGGGGTTGATGGGCGAGCGGGTGACCGCACTGGGGGTGCGCTGCGGTAGGGTGCTGCTTTGGCAAACCGTGCAACACGGGGGGACTGGGGGGCACATGTCCCTGGGTCTTTTCCATGGGCAGCTAAAGCAACCCTGACAGTAGTCGTCAGGTGGCACAAGGCAAGCCTCAAAGCTGCTACAGGGGGATCTGAACAGAATAAATAATAGCAATCATGGAATAGAATAGAATCATAGAATCACTGGGTTTTACGCTCGAGGGAGTAAAACCAACCGGGCAGGCAAAGAGGGAGCACTGCTCTGCAAGCGCTCTGCTTTCAGAGCTGGGGCTTGCCTCTGCCATCCCTTGTTTCTGAGAACAGAAGTGGCACTTGATCATCATCAAGCGAGGGGCATAGAGTTAGTGTAGGGTACATAATAGTGTAGGGAGTTACACTCTCATGACCAATTTTTAAGATCTAATATGAACTTTTGCCAGATGGAGGATGGTCGTAAGACCTTGACAGAATATCACAAGCCTTAGACCTTGTCCTGTGAGTTCTCCATGGTGTGATGTACATGGTAGTTTTCAGCAATAGTGTGCAGCATGATGTGAATTTCACCTTTATTTCATGCACTTGCTTCTGTCACAATTATGTTTTAAAAAATAATGGGGCTTTCTTTTGCAATGCCAGACAGACAGGGATGAGCAGCTGCCAAGGCTTGCAGCACACTCACGCATAAGATTGAGTTCAGTGACCCGGTTTAATGGACGGTGTTGTGAGTATGCCCCTCTCACACACTCTCACATCTCTCAGCGTGACAGATGGGAAAGTTAACAAAGCTAATCGCTGCTTATTGTCATTCAGAGACGACCAGGCACTGTGCAATATCCACTTGCTGGGAGTGGAGAGGCTGGGCTATGCTGGCACACAGCAGCAAGGTAGCATTTTCATTGCTGATGAAGTGCTACCACGCACAGAATAATAAGGCAGGGACCAGCTGAAGGAAAAGTACAGAAAGAGTATTTACAAAGCCCAAACAAATCAAACATGAAAGATTGCTAGGCCGCTTTCCACCAATCACTTGTCCTTTAAAGTACTTTGTCCTATTTGCTCATAAAAATGCTTTCCAGAAGGCTAGAGATTGAAATGAGCTATTTAAAGTGTATGTCTACAGTAAAGAGCTCAGGAGTCTGACTCCCATGGTTCGTGGAGAGTCCGTTTTGGTCCAAGGTAAAGGGTCTGTGCTTTGAAGGAAAGTTCTATCACCTGTGTGAAGTGCTTGACCTCAGTATTCAAGTCTGAAATCACTGTCGTTGCAGAAGAAGATACAACAAATAAGCAAGAAAGAGATGCTTATTTCACTGACCAATCTGATATATATTTCAATATACTCAAAAATAACAGATCATTTATATACAGTAGGAGAGGGAAGAAAACATCCTCAGCTTGAAAAAAGGTTTCTAAACACGTGCTACATTACTGATGGTGTGAAACAGCTGCATTTCAGCACCTCAATCACACAATCCTCAGACTAGTTATGAGACCAGACTCTTTTGCACCGACCTGACCTTAGAGGTTGTGGATACTAGAAATAACATATTGCCCACAAACAGACATCTTCCCTGTTAAATCCAAAATTCTAGTGAATACACCACCTCTAATAATTAAAATACTTAAGAATTGCTCACATCCCTCAGAAAACCTCCTTACCGCAGGGACTTTTGGATAACTGTGTCCAAATACAGGTTCCTCATGTGGCGGGTTATTCGCATGTTGTGGGGATCTGCAGAGACATCTGCCTGGGGGACCTGGAAGTCCTCTTTCCCCTTTTGGTCCTATTGCAAATTGCCCTAGGAAGCAAAATACCAAGTTGCATTGTTAGGAAGTTAACACACAAAACACAAAGGCAGCCTTCCTGGAAAAAGTACAGGTCAGGTAGAGATAGGCATCTATGTAAATTTTCAGAGATGCACATCTGCCACCAGATCCACTGGGAAATAAAGGAAGTGTTTAGCAGAACCACCGATTTCAGCACTTCAGGAGAAAGACCAGAGTTTGTGCAACAGTCCCTTCTGTTTTTTTATTTTTTTTTTTTCAGATCACACTTAAAATTTTTCTGCCAACTTTACAGAGAAAAAGATAGTCCATTTTCTTAGGATTTCCAGATATATGACAGCCTGTTTGAAGATACAGAATTTCAGGTCATGATGAACACACAAATCGCTCTACAGCACCTATGAACCAAGTTTAGTAGAGTCAGAATCTGTGGACATCCAAAATGTATTGGACTTGTGCATTTATGCAACCACTTGAGCGATGCTGTCTCAGAGGTTTCTGTACAAGAAAACCCAACCACAAATACAGGAGCGCCACAAATAAAAAATTTTAAAAATACTGCTTTTTGACTTTCAGACTTTGGCAATGATGACCTACTCTGCAGAATTAGACTGTGAGCCAACATGTTCATACTGCAAGCAGTGATATCATTACAGAAATGTCATTTAGGAACAGAATTTATATTCTGGAGGAAAAAGATGAACAAGCCTGTCACATAAACTTTATGTGGATGGAATAAAGCCTTTAAAAAATAATCTCAAGATTCTGGCTGCCTTCCCATCAGCATGGTGAAAATTCTGCCCTCTGCAAACTTCCAGCTATTTTACCCAGGACAAAGATATTTCGTAATGGGAGATGTGAGATATGTGAAGAATTTGAAGCAGCCCCCATCTTCACAGATGTACTATTTCCAGACCACCAGAAAGGAAAGACTTCCTGCCCACTGATGTAAGCAAGGGAAGAAAAAGGGAAAGTAAAATGGAAGAGCTCATCAAACAGATCAGCTGCAGTGCAAGCAGCTGTTGTCCATTTGAGGCAACAGTCATTTCCAACTGGTTTTGTTTTTCTTTTCAGGTACTTCAGTATATATCCAGGTTGAGAAAACCCTACCTGAGAATTCACTGTCACTGAACATTGTGGGTCATGTATTGTCCTTCATGTCTATGCTTGGTCTCACAAACTTCCTGGAGTTCATGCCCATGTGTAGCTTTGAAGCTGTATGATTATCAGAAGATTTTTCTCATGATTTCTACAACACACACAATTGCAGTGAGCATAGGTCTACAGCACTTAACTAAAAAGAGAGGGTTTTTTTTTTCACCAACCCTTTTTTTCGCCTCTGACTCCTATCCCTTTCATTCTCTTCCTTCTTTTCCTTACTGTCATTGTGACTTGAATCTCATCTGGTTTTCTTTTACACAGCTGCACAGGGTGAGTATGTCCTGGCTGATTAGAAATCACAATCTTTCACTGTAAGCCAGGGTATCTGGAGAAGCAGCAGACCTTTGATGATGAAGATTATCTAGTCCCTCCAAGGCTGCCAGATGGCTTTTCATCATCCCCATCTACCAAAGTCCCACAGGTACCACATAGGTCATGTTTCTGGTTTCATTTGAAACATCAGAAGCCATAATGTAGGCTTTAAAGTAAGGTATAGAGTCCTTAAAATGCACAAGGATGGCATGACTTGCCTTCAGGAGAAATCCTCTCCTTGATGTCAGTGGAGAAGCAAACAAAGCCCTGCAGCGCTTTTTTGTAGGGGGGCTATGTGAGTGTGCGTGATTAGTCAGGAATGGCTGGGGAGCAGGGACACTGTTTAGGAAATCACTTGATATCCTGCTTACCTGATCCTGAAGGTCCAGGGGGGCCCGGCTGGCCAGAAGGACCAGGTCTTCCAGGTGGACCCATGATACCCGCAGGTCCAATGTCTCCCTTTAGTCCCTAGGAGAGAGGAGATATCAATTTATTTGCTAAGCTATTAATAACACACAAGCTCTTCCAGCCATTGCTGTCTTCCCTTTCAAGAAAGCCAAGACATTTTCCAGTAGGACCATGCAGCATGAACTTCATATCCACCACCCCAGGGAAGAGGTGCTGTCCTCTTCTATGTGGAGACAGAAATGCATTTTGAGGCAGGACTTCTAAAAGTGAACAGTCCCAGCAGATCTGCTCTGTGTGGAGTCAGGAATCACTCTGCTCTGACTCCAGTCATTTGTTGACCTTTCTTTAAGGATGCCTTTTTACCCCTGCTAGCTCTCTAGAAGTCCGTGCAGCTCAGAAAGTAAGGGCCGGTGGGGCTGAAATAGCTGATCCTGGAAATTCCTAGTTACTGCGCTAAAACACAATGGGCCAAAAAAGAGAAAATCCACTGAGCCATCAGCAACGGCTTCCACAGTGGCATTTCCCAGTTTTAGGGTGTCGTTTTTCAGAAACACACTCGTGACTTCGAGGGCCACACTGTTTTCAGAAGTACTTTAGGTGCCTGGACTCCTGTATCTCCTTGACTTTCACTGTGGGTGTAGCTATGTTTACAAAACATTGCAAGGAAAGCAAGGGCTTGGCTTTACAAAGTGCAAGCTAGTGTCTGGCAACAGCATCCTGACAAATGGTGTCCCTCCAAAATGCTGTATTACAAACATGTGGGAGATGAGCTTAACACACAGGTACCACACAGTAGTTCATATTCTGTAAAATCAGTCCTAATTTGACTCATGGGAGCTTGTTTGTGCAGCCATACCCTTAGACATTTAGAAGTTTCACCCTAGAACTGTTCAGCACCACCCTATTTTTGGTCCTGAATTTAATATGGTGACACTAATTAAAAATAACTATATTTATCTTCCTGCTCATATACTCTCCAAGGCTTGGCTTTCTCAGCTTTGTGTTTCAGAAGTGTATTACATTCCTTAAAGTTTAAATATCCAATTTGATTTTCATGTAACAGCATACATTATTTAGCTTAACGAAAATGATGTATGCTATGTAAGCCTTCCTTTAATGACAAAGGAGATGAGTTCCTTGAAGATGGTGTAATTCCAGGTCAATGTGCATTCACAGACTCATGATGAGCGGTTGCATGTCTAATTTCAGAGTAATGAAGCATATATAGTAAGTAATATATGCTAAAATAATTTGTTGTTGTATAATATGTTGTATCCCATGGATACATTTGAATGTCACTTGCACCATTTCAACAGAGGAAGGTTGATTTTGCCATGGCCCATAAAGAACTAATTGAATATTTGCTTTGTTTAATCCTATTAGGTAAGCTCTGTGCCATCAAAATATTCCAGGATTTATGTGAATGTCAGCGATGCTGATCCCTAATTACTTCTTACATTATGCAACACAGAACTGGCAGACCAGGATTTTGTAGCCCCCAAGAAGACTGCAGGAAATCTCTTTCCACCATGCAATAGTGACCTGGCAGAGGCAAGCCAGGGCCAGTTGGACATGTACTGCCTGAAAACCAGCTGTCTGCTGTGTCTCCTGCTGTGGAGGAGTGATTGCTTAATGCTTTCTTGTTTAGCACAGATAGATTACATAATAATGGCAGAGATTTATATTAAATCTCTTTGCTTTGTTTCTTTTCACCTGCACCCATGGCCTTCAGAAAAGCTTTTCCAAAGGACAGTATTTATATTCCTCTCCCTTCTTTCAAAGTAACATTCTATAAAGCCCAAGTCATTCCTCCTTATCGAGGTTGAAACCCTAAACTTGCTCCTTAGGGTCAGTTGCCAAGTTAAGAATCTTGGGGTGTTACACCTCAGTTAGAGGGCAGTGAGGCTGTGGCTTGTGACTCCCACCTCCTGGCCACCTTTTAGGAAGAGCCTGCCCCAGAGGCAGGGGAGAGCTGAAGAAGCCAGTGAGGTAATCAAGATGTATCTCAAAATGGAAGTGGAAGTGACACCTTCCTAATTTAGCTGCTTTTATCTTGGGCTGTCAGCTGGATCAAGAGGCCGGAAACGGCCCCATGTTGTTGGAAACCTCAGCTGAACAAACCTCTCAGCTGAACAAGCAGCCAAACTACAGCACTTAAAGGCAGCAGTCACAGCACCTTAAAATGTCACCCTCAAGTGTTTTCAAAGGATTAGAAAAGAAGAAAGGAAATAGCAAGTTCACCAATTACAGAAGGAAGCCCAGTTTTCCTACAGAAGATCAATGCCGAAATTGCTTTCAAGGCATCTGAAAGAGGTCTGTGTACTGAGCCTTGGGCTTGGAAATCCTGATTTAGGGCCAGACTGTAGATCTCTTAGTCACACTGATTGTTGCCTTAAATTATGGCATGCCTTACGTCACCGCTTTTTGATTAAGACTGTGTAATGTGACAAAACTCCTAAGGTCAAGGAAAGAGCGCACTGTGTTCATCTGCAGGTACAGTGTCTTCTCTTTGCGTTATGCTACAGAAACATATTCCGTGCATGTTACTTTGTCAGTGCAGAAGAGCACAGTTTCAAAACAAAAAAAACCAAAAAAACCAAAAGAGCAAAGAACATGCTTCAGCTTTTAAAATCTGACAAATCAAGGACAAAAAAAAATTCTTCTGGGTCATCTAGCAGACTTACATTGTACATACGTCTCCTACTTGGCGACCTATTATTCCCTCCCAACACCCGAATTTTCCCCACACTGGCTATTCTTTCACTTCAGATATTAGTTGATGTCATCAGAGCAACAGTGAAGCAGACATGTGCCTCTGTTTGCAAGGCTGGGCATAACCAGGCTGCAAATGAAGTGCTTTCAGCTAAGCCCATTAACCACAGCATCTACAAGCTCCTGTATCAGAGCAGATGCACATTAAGACAAAGGTCAGTCCAGTGAGAACAGGTTGCCTTCCCTGCTCTGCAGGTGGCAATTCAGAGCATGGGGAACTGATCTACTTTGTACCCCCAGTATCATTGCTTAAAATGAATACACAAGGCAAGGTGCACTCAGAGGCCTGTTTGGTGACTTCTAACAGGTAACTATATCAATATTGCCACCTGCTCCTTGGAAAATGCTGTAGTAGAGGGGTCAGTATCAATTTACACACAATTTCTGGTCTTTACAATTCATCTGAAAATCTGAGAAAAATACTCCTACCAGCATAATTATTTTGAGCCCTAAATAAGGACCATTTGCCAACCATCCCATTTTTGAATGACTTCCATACAAAATTACCATTCCTTCAGGTCACTGTGACTCTTCCTGACCTTTCTCAAAGCAGAATACATCCCTGGCATGCAGTATGATTGTGAGAACTACCATACAAATATCCAGTATAACAAATCCATCTTGGTTTAGTGTTAACAGAGGAAATGGGAGAGAATGTTATAGTGCTTTGGTTCTTTGCACTGCGTGTCAGACATCTCCAAGGCCTAATGGCTCTGGAAGCTGATCTGTGTTGACTAACATTTTGGCCTGGGCAAAGCCCGACTCGATCAAACTGTACAGCAGAAAGCATCCTTCAGGTGGGCCTGGCAGCAAGGGCAGAGCCGGAATGGGCACTGGATGCACACTTGGTGCATGTGCTAGAAATCAGAAATGTATTACAGCGTAATACAGGACTGAGGTCTGGATGGAGGGGTTTTCACTGCCACAGGCCACGAACCAGTTTAATCCATTACAGTAAGATCTTTTATGTATGGGTCACTACTGCCAGTGCACACAAACAGTGTTTTTCCTAGCAGTAGTGCAGCTTTTTGCAGTGGTAAGCCTGGAAGAAAATTCACAGGTGGGCAAAGGGATGTTGCTTGCAAGATGCTGATGTTGCCTCTCTTCATGGAGCTGATGAGAGAAGGGCTATTTTTTGTAGCATCCACAACAATCCCTCCCTCATTCAGAGTCCCAGAAAGCCAGCGTGTCCCTACAAACCTTCCTTTGCTCATCCCAGGAGGAACCTTTTTTCGGTAGGGGCAGAGGATGGCACCTCGGCAATCTGAAATGTGTTGAATTTGGCCTATATCCCATTTGCCATTGCAGCCTACCATACTGCCTGTAAATTGAGTAGCCCTGTTCCCTAAGTCAGCATCAAGGCCAGCGATCTACAAAGTGTGGGGCCCTATGGAGTTACATCCCACACTGCCTGAGACCTGGATCTTGTGCCAGCTTGTCCAGCCATCAGGTGGACTTGGGACCGTAGCTCTGTGTCACTTAGGCTCTAAAGGTGGGGTTCGAGGTCTGCTCAAGTTATATTCAATGAGTTCATTACCAAGCCATGGAAAATAGAACTTTCCTCATGCTGCGCAGCCAGGGAGCTGAATGCTGCAGATAAGGCTTCAGCCCCAAAGCTGGGACTTTAACTCCTGTGCAGCCTGTGCATGTGTGTGGGTTGTTTCAGGGCTTCTGTCTGCTCCCACTGTGACACAGTGCATGGTACCATGAAAACACAGACTGCACAGTTGTACACCATGACTGCACAGATACCATGAGTCACGGGAAGAAGAAACACCATGGTCCTACTTGTTTGCCTCGTTTTCCGGGTCTTCCTATAGGTCCTCTGTGTCCTGGTACTCCAGATTGTCCCTTTGGGCCCATCTCTCCCTTGGTGGGTGCAGAGGAAAGGAAGGAGGACATAAGCAAAGAAATGCACGTTACCTTGGTTATACCTGTCTTATACAAGACAGTAGATGCATTGTGCTTTCATTCACACATTTCCTCTAGACAATGCTAGCACCATTTCTTATAATCCAAAATATAATAAAATATTTTAAAACATCCATAAAGTAAAAAAATCTCTCATAATTTACCCAAATTTCCCTGAAAAATCCTTTCCTAAACAGGAAGGCAAATGGAGAGATCAGAAACATGCTCAGAGATTTGGAGAGGTCAAGGCTAGCAAAACTCTCTGATTCCTTGGCAGTATCTTGCTTTGCTGTTGCACATATAACAAAATCATTCAGGGAAAGGGAGGTGAAGTCACTCGTCTTCTAGCCTCCTTAGAAGTAACCATTATTTACTCATCCTAATTTCAGAGGTAAGATGTGATTATATCATAAAATTATCCACCCATAAGCCAATATATGAATTTTGATTGGTTTTCAAGTACAGAATAACAATGACATAGAAACTGGTCAGGGTCATCACTGTTATTTTGTAGCAGTGCCATTTCAATTCAGGGGATCAAGAAAGAAATATTTATTAGCTTCAAGTGAATAAAACCTGAACAATTAGGGCAATTATGAATCTATAATCAAGAGTTTGAAACAGGAGGAAGATTATGACCAAACCAGGTTACTGGGAAAAAAGAGAAACAATAAAAAACAGCTACATCTCAGAATTTTTTCCTAAGATAAAAAGCCTGAAGAATTTGATCAAGTCCAACTGTTGGTCACTAAGTCCAGCAACACCTCCAGTGCCTTATGCTTTCCAGGACATCCCTGAAGCCATTCATTGACCCTATGCCAGCACTTAACACAACTTCCCATTACATCACACCCACTTACTTTTTGTCCCAGCATTCCAGGGAAGCCTATTTCTCCCTACAGAGTGAAAGAAAAAAAAAAAAAAACCAACATCAAAAAATGGAGCAGAGTAATTTTTGACAAAGCAGCACCTTGCTTGAATGGAATTAAAAAAGTGCCATGTACTGATATTGGTTAAAAACATGCACTGTGATTCAGCACTGTGGGTGATGCAGTAGGTGGAGAACTATAAGCAAAATTTTCCTGTAGAGCCTCTTGTGCAGTAACACTACCCTTCCATCTGATCCTCTGCTGCCTGCTTCCTCTTCTCTGGCAAAAGCATCCCTGTTTTGTGTCTACAGGCAACCCTGCTACTTGGACAACTCCCAAAGCCTGCATTTGGGAATGGCACCTCTCCATTTACATCAAAAGCAGATTGCTTCTCCTTTCTTAGTTACAAGAACCCAC